CAAGGGTAGGCACCTAACAGCGGTGAAGCAGGCCGGGTTAGGCGGCGTACTGCGGCAGAATAGTGGGTCCAACGGAGCCGGATCTCGGTAACTGCTCCGGCGAAGCCGGAGATATCAATCCGGGCTCTAGCCCGTGACAATCGTACTATGAAGGAGTTCAATCTCCGGGACAAGATAGCGTCCAAAACGGAGTTTATATTCGTGGGCAAGGACTTTGATGGCCAGCAACACCGAGACGATTCCTACATACCAGAGGGCGGCAGGTGCCCTCCAGTCGGCCTATGCAAACCGCATGGCACGTCTATGCTGAGCATTATTGCTGGTGCAAAAATAGGGATTGCGAAGAAGGCAAAACCGATCATGGTTCATGTTCCACGTCGTCGAAAGGAGGGCGGTGGAGCAAAACCCAGAGATTGGATAGATGCCATGTCCGCTGTTGCTAATGCGTTCTCCGACAAAAGTGCAACGACGAGAGCAATTCTTTGCATGGCACAGGGACACAGATTCGAGGATTTCAAGATGGACTGGGAGAGCAGAAACAAGGAGGAGGGACAAGACAAAGAGAAGCTATTGTCAGAAGCGTGGATATTGTTTCGAAAGTCCATGCATGAAATTTTGACCGATCTCGTTGCAAAGGGTGTTTTTATAGTCACTGGCGCAGGGACCGATGGGGTGGTAAGTTGAAAAATCCATGCAATGTTGGAGATGAAAAGCTAACGCTGCGGAACTTCAGATACACGCCTTGCCTGCCGCATTTACGTCTGAGCTCACATAAGATTTTGACTTGTCGATACCAGAGTTGCTGGTCGTGGGAGCGGCTTATCCTGGTGATGGAAGTCCATATCTTAGGTCTGGACGGCCACCGAATACGGTAGATGCATTACCACATATATATGCGCCAGGCTCGAACCTCTTAGTTGCGAACGGCAACAGAAACGAATGGCCAGAGACTTCTCGGGTCGAAGGTGCGAATGCGGAGAAGAGACAGAACGGAAACAAAAAGAGCCATTACAAGTTCTCCCAGGGGACCTCAGATGGTGAGTACGAGTCTGAGCAAAGGTGATCAGATGGACGGCTGACCAGACACGTACAGCAACTGCATACACAGCCGGGCTTGCAGCCTACTTCCTCAAATTGCATCAGCTTGGACGCCTAGGTCCTGACAAAAAGGGGAACCAGCCTGATATGAGTCCAGCTGGGTTGAAGAGGTACATCATTAACAACGGTTGGGTGCGACAAAACAAGGACAACAACGGAGTCTTGGGGATCTGGAATGGCGCGACTATTGAGAGTCTGGAGCGCGAAGGCTTTTGTCCCTACATCGCAGGCACTACCAACATATTCCGACTTCGGCGACAAGAAGGCGCGGCCTTGACTGGTCAATGTGTCCCCGGCACTTCTCCAACAGCTTCTGCAGGCTCAACGCACAATCCATCAGCAACAGCAACACCCACAGGCAGCGGTACAGTGGCACCCACTGCCATTCCAACGACCTTCGTCTGCACCGAGGAGACTGCTGACAAGTGCGCTCCCGGCGTCGTTTGTAGTAGGCCTCGGGTGAACGGCTGTGTCGATGGGAAGTGCGTTTGTGTTCTTCCCGACCTACCAGCACCCACGAGTTTTGTCTGCCCTGAGAGGACAGCCGACAAGTGTGCCCCCGGAGTCACCTGCAGTGCACCTCAGACCAACGGCTGCGTGGATGGACAGTGTGTCTGCGTCTTGCCCGACCTGCCTTCCAAGACTACAGTCGTCCAGACCACTCTATCTACTGTCACTTCGAAATCACCCGATCCCGTGCCGACTAACACAGAGATGCCAGTTGCACTTGGCGAGCGCAAGTGCCACGACGCGAGCATCTACACCGGTCAATTTGACATACAAGAACACTCAGTATTTCTTGCTGCAAAGAGAGCCTGTTCGACATGTGTTACAGGTAAGGCGTCGATGTCCGCCGATTCACTGACTAGAAATGGATATCCTACCGAGGGTGGTATCAGGTATGAGATGGAGATTAGCTGGAGATCAAATTGTGTGTCAACCGTCGAGACCATTGATTGTGGAGACCCTCTAGGCGAGAACCCGAAGGTTCACACAACCCCCTGTGAGAACTTATTTGTGGAGAACTGGAAGAGCTGTGAGTAGTACGAAAGCCAGTACCGGTCTGGGATTTCACGACTAACAATGTGTTTAGGTACGGCCAATAAGGGCCGGGGTGGGTACATTGATGTTGGGTGCTTGCGATATGACTTTACGCCAATGTAACTGGAGCGTGGACTCAGTCAAGAAATTGGTTCACGAAGGAGAAACAGGGAATGAATCACAGCTTCTTGGTCAGAAGTTCAACTATTGGGTAGATGTGCGATGACGAGCTTCTGTTGGCGACAAGCCTAGAACGGAGGGTGCGGGGAAAGACGGAGAGACTCCGGTCCCCTACCTGTAGTTGGCCGGTGCCATTGAGGCCATTCTAGCGTCTTGGGAATGTCTTGCAAAGAGAGTCCGCGTTTCCGCTCTTCACCTACTTGAATGCAGCCATGTATTCACGGATATGCAACGGATGAGTAGTGAGAAGGTTAGAGCTCTGCGGGGCTGGCTGCACGGGGCTACGCGGGGTCACGCGGAGCGGCCCGATGGACCCGACGTGCGTCAGCCCGGGACGCGGCGGACCGACAGTCCTGATGCTCCCGGGCACTGCTGGTCTCGTCGGGACGTATCCGTAATTAGGTACTTCTACAAGAGCAATTCGTTATGTCCCCCGTCCACAACAGGACTGCACATCGTCAACCGCCTGAGTCACCTGCCTGCACTAGGGTCTTGTTCGGTTGTGGACTGTGTCTGCATCGACTTGGCAGCATCACGTAAGGCAATCGATAGTATTATCAAAAACAAAATAAAAAAACTCCCATTTAAATTCGATGTCTCTGTTTATTGAGCAATCGCATGTTACCAAATACACTCTTGTCAATACGATCTAACTGAAAGGCACCGCAGCGCCCTTGGTGTGAAACACGCAGACCAACTCGATGATCCTTAATCCATCGCGAGCGGTCTCTGGCTTGACGTAGACCCCCCCGGACCTGCCCAGGATGGCGTCTGCAACCTTTTCATAGTATCCACGGTACCGACCGCGGATTGTAGGGTACCGTCCGATGTACATCTTGCTGCTGTTGTCGTACTTTTGAACCTTGGAGTCAAACTCAGTCTCTGTGGAAAGCGTGCCCCAGAGACGCTCTGGCTCGACGCCGAAGCTGTCGGCTCTGGCCGGCTTGCCGGGGGCCGCGGCTGCTTGGGACTCTTGCGGATCGGTTCCAAACTAGGGCGGAATAGAAAACATGGGTCAGCTAAACAGCGGCATGGACATGGGTTGGTTACAGACGGTAACTAGGGTTATTGTGAATAGTGTTGGGTAGATATCAGACATGTAAATGGACAGGAACGTAGCATACATACCTTGAGATAAGTTCCTTTCGTTCCTCGGACAAAGTATTTGAGCTGATCCTGCATATGCGTGATGATGCCCGTCTTGATGGTGACTAGGAGATCCCGTCTCTCACCACCGTACTGCAAAATGATGGTGAAGGTGTCGTCGATATCGCTGTCGATGCCTCTATTGGAGCGCAGGAAGCCGGTGACGGACTTTGGGGGACCAAAAAGCAACAGTGCTTGGTCGATCGTGTGCGTACCTATCTGTTTCAGCCGGATTGCTACTCATATTTTTGACGCCTTCTGTTGGTCTTCGTCGTCCTCTGTGGGCATAGTAGAACGTACCCAAGCCGAACGTTATGCCCTCTCCGGGTGTGTACTTCTTGCGGTTCCAGTTGGCCACCCAAGAAGCTGCGTTCACGTCGAAATGGAGCTCGGCCTCCTTAACCTCTCCTAGGGCGCCCTCGTTGATGAGGTGCTGCAGAGTCAGGAAGTCGTTGTCGAATCGTCGGTCTATTTGGGTTGCACAGGTCAGCCATGGTTTTCAGGTATAGCACTCATCACTCATCAATCCAGCCGAGGAGTGAATAGAAAGGTAGTGGAAAGCGAGAACCTACTGTGGAAGACGGTGAGGATCTTGTTCTTCTCTGTCGCCAGCTGGATCAGGCGATCAGCAATGGCGCTTGTGGGCACGAATGGCTTTTCAACGACCACTACAGAGCAATGGGTAAGCGTCCAACTAGCCTAAGCATGAATAACCCACACACCATGCTTGCCAGCCTTGATACTAGCTTCCACAAAGTCCTCGTGAACACGCGTGCAGACGACAACGAGATCAATGTTTGAGTCCGCAAAGAAACTATTGGCTGTGGCGTGGTGCTTCGCCCGCGGGAAGTCAATGGTGCAGTGGCCGAACGGCGGAGGCGCCTCGCCCGCCTTCGGCACCGGGGTGCGCTGGAGGACGGCGTAGATGTCAAAGTCGGGGTTTGGAAGGATGTACGGCAAGTGAAACACCTGGGCCGAGTACCGGCAGCCGACGATTCCTACTTTGATCGGGGCCATGCTGTGCTATGTGTGTTGCCTGTTCGGCGGAGGAACGACTTTGGTTTCGGCTCCTGACAACACTTTTACTTAACTTGACCGAATTCATCGTGGTTGTTGAAGGAAAGTCCGCCCTATTATTACTCGCAGCTTGGCCAAGTTTCAAAAAAAGAAAAGATGAGCTAGAAGTCTCCAGAGGTCTGCTCGGGTCACTTGCGGGGTGAATGCCGAGCGCAAGACGTCAATTAAGTCCCCAGTTTCACAGCTATCGGAAAGGGCTGAGCGGATGTTCCAGTGTTGCTGAGTTGAAGCCGTCGGTTCGGCTGAGTATCTCTTCCGATTTCTTGCCAGTGACTCACTACTTCTTCTTTCAATTCTTGATGGCGGAGCTCTCTCAGCCAATGTGGGGATTCAGAAACCACACTCTCCCGATCATCGGCTAAGGAAACCCGATGGATCCGATCCAGACGAGTTGCTCAGGCATTTCGCGAGCAGGACGAGTTCACAGACCGTTCTATCGGCATCGCCGTCTTTGCGTCCTCTTCTTGATGGCGACGATGGAGGGCTTTTCAAAACAATAGCTGCAAGCAAGCTTTGAATATAAAGATTCGTATTATCGTCCTCACTTGCACCGCCTACAAAAGAATCTAGATCTGCGAGACTTCACATCAATCACAATAACAACAGCCAACGCAACAAACATCATCATTTCCACTTCATCACTTTTATAAGCACCCAATAATATCCATACCCTCACCGCCGTCATGCAGCACAAACAGTGGGAGAATAAGGTGATCAGCTTGACCCCGTCGGCTGAAGAGCTGGCCTCAGGGGAAGCCAACGCCGCGACCGTCGGTGCCGCCGTCTCCATCCTCCAGCGCGACGGTATCGTTGTCATCAACGATGTCGTCGACCCTGCACACTGCGACAAGATCAATGACCTACTGTCCAAGGAGTCGGAAGGCCTCGCCAACGATAACTCGACGCATTTCAACTTCGGCGCCCATACGCGCAACATCTCACAACCGCCCCCGCTGGACGTCGAACATCTCTACAGCGACATCTGGGCCAACCGCTTCACAAACAAGATTGTTTCCAACGTTCTAGGCCCCAACCCTGTCGTCAGCTACGTCAACGGCATCACGGCTCTGCACTCCGAGGACAACACCCGGCAGGAGGTCCACGCCGACATCACCTACGCCCACGTCAACTACCCCTTCGGCCTCGTCGCCAACTACTACCTCGTCGACACCGACGTCGAGAACGGGTCGGCCGAGGTCTGGATCGGCTCGCACAGAGACACGTCCATGGAGGACCACATCGGTGTGAACAAGCCGGCCATTAAGGACGAGTGCCTGGAGGAGCGCCGCGTATACATGCCGCCCATCCAGCCCAGGATCAGAAAGGGCAGCGTCGTCATCCGCGATATCCGCCTCTGGCACGCCGGCATGCCCAATCGCTCGTCAGTGCCGCGCATCATGCTTGCCATCGGGTACACCCCCTGGTACATGAACAGCCGACCCAAAGTGAAGCTGCCTGTCGCCGCGAAGGAGCTGGTCGCTCAATGGGAGACGGACACAGGTGTCACTTACAGGGTTGATTTTGTGGAGGGTGATCTAGACCATAAGAAGACCGTCTTCAAGACCGGCTTCCGCCCAAATAACCCCCACATCGTTTACCCTCCAGGTCTCACGAAGGAGGACTACGCTTACCTGGCCCTTGACGATGTTCCCCTCGTCGCTTAGAGGTTCACTGGAGAGAGAGGAGACGCGAGATTTCATTGTGCTTTGTACATACCTATGTACTCTGGTTATATCAAAGCCTCTTCGTGTCCAGAGAAAACGAAAAAAGCACATCCCCTAACGTAGATCTTCGTTGCCCAGAAAATGCGCAAATCCTTTGGAAATAAACCTCTCGCACATGACATCGTAGGTCAATTGTGTCATGGGATTATCGGTCCACGTATTTAGGAAGCAAAGCGAATCTCTCAACAGTTCCGTCGTTTCATCCGGCAGCAATCTGGCGAGGTTTGGGTGGCATATTGTCCATGTGTACTGTGTCCTATTCCTGACCTTCATCTCTGCCATGCCTATTACAAGACTGGCGACAAACTCCCGTGCCCGTCTCGCTTCAATAGGCTCATGGGGGCTTTGAGGCGGCTCCGTTTGATCTTCAATGCTCTGCACGAAGAGCTGCAGACATTGTGAGATAGCCGGCCAGTATAGTACCGTCTTGAGACAGTGGTACTGAAGCCGGAGGAATGACCTGTGGTTGTGCATGATACGAGATTTGTCCTTTGGGAACTTCAGTGGCGGCGGCAGGCACGAGTACCACTGCTCCAGCTGGCTTTCCAACTCCACGCTTACAATTGGCGCGTGGACAATTTCGTTGCTGCCTGGGTTTTGTCAAAGGTAGTTAGTCAATGTTAGATTCCGCCCGTCTTTTCAATCAGACTAATCAAGCGTGGCTTACGTACCCTTGTCACGGAGACTGTTCTGGGTCGCGTCACGAATTCTTCAGATGGAAACTAGTGCGAGGAAGAATTGGAAATTTTCCTCTCCGGGCTCAGGGGAAGGCAGAGGTAAGGACTCGGTGTAGAAAGCGATGCCACTGCCCTCAAAACGGAGGTGGGTGTTCAGCTCGCTGCCATTGTCAGTAAGCATGTATGTAAGTATAAATGAACAGGGATTAGACCAGTTCGGGAGGGAGCCTCCATGTGATTGGGTACTTACGCCTCCAGAATGTGGCAGCACCAGCTTGCCCTGATCAAGAGTCGCACGTCTAGATCAGTCGGTTCGTGCTGGATGCGGTGGAGCAGCAGATATTTTCTTGCCGCCTGGACAATTATGTCGAGGGCTAGAAGTGGGCGCAAGTTATACATGTAGAACTGCCTTATAACCCATGAACTCTTGTTAGAAAGCAAATCCTTTGGCAGGAGGCTGACTGGGTGTGAACCCTGTGAAACAAATTTGAAAAGGTTCTCACGCCATCAAGATAAAACACTGAATGATGGTAAGATCTGTCTGAAAGCTCCTCTTAACCACCAGCTGGTACGCTCTCTTGAACAAGCGAAAGCCCTGCAAGGATTCCAGATTGGTGGCAGGTCGCGTGCCTTCCTCCGCAATGTTACCCAGACTAAGCGCGAGGAGAACTAGACCGGTGCTTGGGCACTCGTGTCCAAAGTTGGACGCCTCAGCTCTGGCCAAATGCTCCGGCCAGGACACGCACTCATCGAGGACGGGGAACCACGGATTCACCCTGGCAAAATAGGACTCTTGCAGCCGGTGTATGACGCTGTCGTCCAACCTAATACAGTGCGTCGTGTCGTCACCGCCTTCCAGCTGGCGGAGGAATAGGTTTCCGAAGTCCATCTCGGCCTTCAAGCACCTCGCCAGTACGGAGCGCTGGATCCGCTGTATTCTCCCTGGGGCAGTGAGTATGGCGATGCTGCGAGAAAGATGCCCATCGATCATCGAGATGTCGACCGTTATGCTGCCACTGTCATGGCTCGTGAAGTCCGCAGAGGTGGCAGTGCTGATGCCCACGATGCTGATCAGAGATATGTTGCCGGAGCTGAACTGCCGGATGGCAATGCTGCTGCCATGGGTGTTGATAGCCCCACTACCACCAATAGGCGAACGGCTATCAACATTGTCAGTGGTATGCCGGCAGTCATTCATTGAAGAGCTCGTCAAGTGGGCGATTCTGGCCTCAAGCTGTACCAGCCGAGACTGGACGCTCGTATCCCCGACGCCCGGGGTCCTGTACAGGTGCGGATGTGAGCTACGTGTCTTTCCACCCCGTTGTTCCGAAGTCAAGGAGGGAACACTGAGTTTGAGATCAGTCAGAGAGGTATCCAGGCTACATCAAAACGTACTGGGATGGCTCAGACGCGGTGGTGGAGTAAACGCTAATTCTACCAACGTCCTGACAGTACTTGCAGGTCGGTTTTGTGCCATCGCACTTTGTCTTTCGCTTACGACAAACCTCGCACTGCTTCCAAATTGAGTATCAGTCCATCAGACATTCGCGGACATAGGAGGTGGGTATGGAAATGGGGAATTACTTTTGTTGTGGGTACGCCTCTTTCCCGCGGACACGGACCGACTGTCATCGCGGGGCGAAGTCAGTTGCGGATAATGAGGTGAAGGAGAGGAGCGACCCGAGACAGGAGAACCCGTCGACCTGGGAGGATGTGGAGGAGGGGAAGACTGAGACTGGTCCATCATCAATCATGTGCTTTGACTCCGAGTGAGACTTGTTGGTTGAGCCTGACAGAGAACCATAGAAGTCGATGGGGACAGCTCAGCGTCGGATCAGCATCGGAAAGCGAGCGTTTTAGTACACCCAAGGGTCAACTAGGCTAGCCGACGGGACGGATGTCGTCGGGAGCATCGGGACAACATTCGCAACCACCCATCCCTTCCCCGCACTCCCTCCGGTCCACTTTGTATCCGGGGAAATGTCCCCACCAGGATCCCAATCCTGGGCTAGCCTCCAGGATGACGGAGTCTGGGGTTCAGCCGCCCGTGTGCAGTCTCTTTGGTTTCATGCCTCGTCTATTCGGGGCCGGCACATGCTGGATGTCCAGGACGTTCAAAGGATTTCATTTAATCCTCGTTGTTGCTAACGTTAAGGCCTCTTCAACCCCAGAATTCTTCTCAATAACTCACTTTCCTCATCTTTACCTCCTGCTACGGCCAAACCCACCGGGCTAGCTAAGCTCACACTGAGCCTTGTCATCTGCCTTCTAACATGTCCGTCGACAAGCCTTTCAAAAGTCCGAAGGAGTCCATCGAGGCCGCCAACATTGAAGATGTTTCCTTGGAGCAGGAACAAGCCCAAGAAGACAAGCCTCACATGTTACGCGAGGTCAAGAAGAACAAACGTGTGTTAATGTGGTGTACGTGATCTGCCCTACTCTAACGTTTCTTCCTCCCTTACCTTCATCCCCTCCTTCACGCTTATCTGTGACACACCTTTCAGGCCTACTCTTGTACCTTCTACCCATCAACTATGGCTACGAGACAGGCATGGTTGGCTATTTGCTGCGTCAGCTTTCCAGCGCCAGTTCGGCGTCGAGTACCACGGTGTCTGGACCATCCGCGTCCCCGACCAGCAATTGCTCAACGGAGCCAACACGATCGGCATTCTCTTCTCTTCGGGTCTCAACGGCATCATCTCTGACCGTTTCGGACGCAGATACGTCATCATCGGCGCTTCCATCCTCTGCTGCGCTGGGCGATCCTCCAGATCTTCTCCTTCACGGTTATATCCCTCTTCGGTGGCAAACTGCTTGCCAACGTCGGTATCGGTCTGGGCTGGTCTCTGGCCCCTGTATTCGTTGCAGAGCTGGCCCCGGAGAGTCTCCGTGGTTTCTGCTTGGCCATTTTGGTGAGTCCCTGAAGAAGATCCCGCCTTTCCCCTGCCCCCAATCATCAGGTCTAACACGAAACCTCAAGAACACCATGATTGTCCTGGGCCAGTGGGCTAGCTACCCCGCTGTTTACGGTTGCTCGTTTCGACATGATGAGTGGGCGTGGCGCATTCCCCTCGTTGTGCAGGTTATCCCGCCCGGTCTCTTACTCCTTATCTCTGTGGTTTTCCTCCCCGAGTCTCCATCCTGGCTCCTGATGCGCGGACAGGAAGAGAAGGCCATGGCAGCACTTCGTATCTTCAAGGGAGACAGACCCGGGATCGAGGAACACCTCAAAGCTATGAAGAGGGCTGTTGACATGGAGCAGGCCGCGCGGGTGGACCAAGAGTCATCAGGATGGGCGGATGTCTTCCGCCAGCCCAACCTTCGGAGAACCATGATCGCCACCGTCGCATTCTGCGGACAGCAATGGGCCGGCGTGACCTTTGTCTCTGGATACTTGCCGTAAGCTAACCTCTTTTCCCACGATAGCACACTCGTCTGCCTAAGGTTGATACCATAACTCTCAGTTATTACTTTTCGCTCGCCGGCGTCAATAATGCTCTCGCCACTGCCCAGGGCGCTTACGCTTTGCAGCTGATCGGCAACATCTGCTCTCTGTTTCTGGTTGAGCGCACTGGCCGGCGTCCGCTGATGATTGGCGGCTCTGCTACTATCAGTGCCGGTCTGCTCCTCATCGGGCTGATCAACATCACGCCCAACCCCGCCAGTCTCAAGGCCACCGTCGCCTTCATGACTATTTGGGGAATCGTAGTGAGCAAGCACGGCCCCACAATGCTTCCCATTCTGCTACATGTGTTGACTCTTCTCCTCAGTATCAAGCCACGCTTGGAGCCGTCGCCTACGCAGTTGCTGGCGAGACTCCAACGCCACGACTCCGGCAGAAGACATTGTCTTTCACGATGGCTTGGGGAATCGCCTTCGCTGGTCTGTTTTTACAAATCGTGCCTTACCTGGTGAATCCCGACAAGGCCAGCCTGGGAGGGAAGGTCTGCTTCGTCTTTTTCAGTACCTCTCTGCCCCTCTGTTTCTTCTTGTTCTTCTATCTACCTGAGATGAAGGGGCATTCAGTTGAGAAGCTGGTGGAGATGTTCCAAGATAGAATCCCTGCACGTCACTTTTCTAAATGTTAGAGTGATGTATGTAGCCTCATTAGATGAAATCCATCTTGATAGTTGTCTTGAGATATATACACTGAACTACCTATGCCGCAATCAATATTGAAAAGTGATGCAGGTTCACTCTTATTCAACTGGTCACCATGGAATGACGGCAATCCGTACTATAGTAGAAGTGGTTCAGGCAACACAAGGGACGGCTACAAGCGAGTTGATCTTGACGAGAGAATATCGGCCGATCAGCCTAATTTATTCAACATATTCTCTGGTGTTGCCATTTGAATTATGGTAATTGACACACAACGTAACAGTCTCAGCAATCCATTTGAGCGGCAGTAATGTTTGGCGTTTCAACGCTCCACGACGCGATCCAAGAGAGCATGGTAGTTCTTACCGTTTTCGACACTCTTGTCTGAGAAAGTACCCTTATCCAACTCATGCCTCACTGAAACCCCTAGCCAATGGCTCTGCGACCAGTCTCAATTCAGTACAAGAAGGTAAGGAAGCTCAACATCTGGTGTACGGTTTTTGATGAGCTGTGATGTGTCTCGGCTAATTGTTGTTAGCTTTTTCGGCTTAGATTTCATGTAGTTGCCATATTTGGATAAAGAATTCGTGGCGTTGCTTCCTTTTCTGGAGCGGGTTTGCGTGCCACATTACAGCCGCATGCGTTGATTTCAAGCTTGCTGTTGTTCTGGTTTGCTTGAACGACCTAGTGGAAATGTTTTCCTTGCGGACTGCAACTGCGTTTCTATTAGCACCTTAGCTGGGGGAACCCATTAGCTAGGGGAAGAACTCACCGAAGGACTTAAGAGTCGCACCATGGGATCATTTGTTGTGCGGTCGATAGCGACAACTCTCTCGAATATGTCTCTTACAGTTGTCTTCTCTCGTAAAAGTCTCCTCGCAGCCGCTATGAGGGCACCGGGGGCGTTCATGTTCGGGCAGCGGTTCGTGCTTGAGGTGATGCTTGATCAGATCCTTTCGGAGGTTGGTGGAGTACCGGCAGCCAGGTTCTTGGCATTTGTGTTTGCGAATTGGTCGCGTTTCTGTTGGCGACTGCTCTTTGAAAGTCGCTGGATCTGTTGATTCGGGGGTCAAGGTCGCGAATGGCGCGACTGGGAACGTTGGGGAATTTACAGCGAAATGGTCGCCTCCCGAAGTCGATTGTGGGTAGTTTATAGCGAAATAGTCGCCTCCCGAAGCTGAAAGTTGTATTGGTTGAAGTAGATATTGGAAATCGGCTTCCGAGATTTCGTTGGTTGGGTCAAGGCCGAAATCATCTTCCGAGTTGAGATAGGTATCTAAACTCCATTGAAAGAGAGGCGATGTAAGATCGAGGTGAGGGAATCCATGCAAGAAGTGAGAGGAGGCTTGGTCGCGGGAAGCTCCGTCTGTACTTGAAGGAACATGTGGTCGTTGGTAGAGGATTGGAGATACGGCTTGGGAGGTGTTGTCGTTAAAGTTGATGAAGTCTTGTTGGGTGACAAAAGCACACCAACTTGGTGGGTCGGTTGAAAGGGTTCAAAGGGCCGCCGCTGGAGGGGTACGGCGACCCTTCTGGAAAGTCGAGGAATATGCACCCGGGAAACCCCAGATGCTAGAGTTGCTGAAGAGGCTCGCAAGCCTCTCAAGATCTTTGTAGTTCGTGTTCAGTAACAGGAGAGAAAGTGGGTGAAGGTGAGAATACAGAACATCCCAAGTTATGGTTGCTGAGGTCTCGCTGATAAATACCCAAACCTAGTAATGCTGCTAGAGACTATCCCTGGCGACTCAAAAAAGGTCGGAGTCCGGTGGCTTGCAGCCTCTGAAGTCTGCTTAGCCAATAAGAAGTCATCCAAAGCGAGACAAGAGAGTCTTTCCGAGGAGTCCTGCTGCAGTATGCCGCCAAGAAATGATCGCCCCAATATTTACCAATTTGGTGCAGAGCTGAACGGCCGCGCAGCGGGTCTCGCCAGGACTCTCTCATCCCCTGCGAGGACTCTCTGCGATGACAGGCTCGGTTGAGCGATTTAACGCAAAGAGTCTGGACTGCCGCAGCGCGCTGAACTGATGACGTCCGCGTCAGATATCATATTTCTATCGAACGCCAGCGTTGGCTGCCTGAGGAGGTCCATCCACGATATCTCACGCGTCGTAACCAGCACGTGGACATTCCAGACTTGAGAATATTCGGTCGGCAGCACTGGGGTGTTGAACCCCACGCCAGACCCAAAATCATTATTTTTATTGTTCGTGGACACCAGCCTGTTTACTGGTTGCCCATATTCAGCATATCATCGTACCCGCTCTCTGCAAGCCACTCTCTGACCAGCGTATCAGTGTACTGATCTGGCATACTGGCATCGAACAGAAAGGCTAGCGGGTCTCCCTCCGCCACGGCCTGCTCTCGGCCCGTGTTCCCCATCGTGCTCTCAACAGCCGCGCCCGGTGAAGCAACCGGAGGTCCCATTAGCTGGCCGCCTGCTGCGACCCCTCCCGCACTCATAGCCAAATCGCCCAAACTAACGTATCCCGCCTCACGGGCTCCTCCTCTATTAGGATTGTTGACATGCTGTAATTGAGACACGTCGTCGCAGTGGTACCACTCTCTTGCAAGTAACTGAATCGCCCGAAGTGCTCGATCACTCCAGGCACACCACGCCGTCCTCAGATCCCTGAGGGCATCGATGCACGTCTGCAAGTGGTGGATCGCCAGTTGCCTCTTGGGGTTTGATGGTCGAGCATCGATGAGATGGATGATAACTGCTGAGAAGCATAGATGAACTGCTGCGATCGGTATGCGACGCTACTCGATAATTATCAGTTGGATCCTATTTTAGGCCATGGGCAAGAACTTGTTGCCAGAATCGGAGATACCTACCAGAGTGTACTGCTGCTTGTAAACCCTCAGTAGCCTGGCGATTTCTGCTGCTGAATGACGACATGTGGCCATGTGCTCGTTCGCGTATTCGTCATCGGCCAAGCTGCTTGTATCTTCCGGGGACGATGCGCTCTTGCTTACAGAACGCCTTGATTTTCTCTTCCTCATCAAGGGTCTGTGTAGGAGAATTAAGTGGGCATGGTACTGTATGCTAGACAGGTCCATTAGCTTCAAATCATAAGAGGGCTTGTAGATGACACAAGGCGATACTCACTGAAACAAGCAGATGTGTGGAAGCATCGGTACTTTGGGGGAAGAAGGTAGGCGGAGGTAGCTAGGTAGCGCTCGATAGTGTGACTGTAGCTCGACATCGGCCTTTGTAACGATGTCCTCAATTTCTCTCGGTGAGAGTTTGCTGTTGATTGCGTATCTGACGATTGTCAATATGAGGAAATTCTGCTCTGAAGTAAGGGTCTTACATCATATCCATGGCCTCACATGCAATGGTGTAAGTTTCCGATACATGGTGAGCTGTCGATGAGATGTGAGAATGAACGCCAAGAGTGCTGTCGTCGAAGGCTCCGCCAGGCGTCGGTTTCCAAGGCGTGTACTCTTCCTCGTTATCGATACTGGGCTTCGGGCAAGTAATACTTGACTTGGGTGTGCTGCTTGGTCTGCCCAACCCTAGTGAGAATAGTCTAGGTTGGAGTCAGCATTTGTTCCATGAACGCATCCCATGACTGAATGGGTTCGGAAGAAGCTCGCTTACTTATCCACGACATAACATCCCCACCACGTCACCTTTCTCGTATCGGCCTCATCCTCCGACAACAACCCGGAAGTCACAAATTTTGAACAATCCAGATTTAAGCCAAGATTATGAGCCATTCTTGTTGCGTTTCCTAAAGATTCTGTCAGCAGATTTAGACAGCTCTGGAAATACAAGGGCGTTCACCTGAGTAAAGCCATCCGAGAGCCTCCTTGCCATCCGACATGATTCGAAGAGCCAAGAGACACGCAGCCTGAACAGTCGTGATCGTCGGCGCCTCACTCTCATACAGTAACAAAATTTTAGCATGCTCGCAAAATGCATCGCCGGCGGTGTTCGGGTCGTTTGGGTCTGAGCGTAGCTCCGGGCGATCCGAGTATCGTGCCGAAATGGCAAAGATGGCGGAGAGCAGTAGGGGTGAGCAGTATTTCCCCCCATCCTCGCCTTTGAAACTCCTCAAAAACGTTCCTTTGTGAATGACGTAATTCCATGGATTCTGCCATCGCCAGTAAATGTCGAGCAGGTGATTTTGCATATCATCAGATATCGTGACCAGTTTTCCTAGTTGGGCTGCAGCCGCGATGCCCTGTCTTTGCAAGCGGAGAGACGGCTCGTGAGGATCGGCTTCGCGGATGGGTTCTCGGACGAGGTTGTATGAGCTTTGTGATCCAAAATAGTGTACCTGGCCGTCTTCAATCACGTTGAGACGTCCCACTAGTCCCGTAAGCTCTGCGAGAGGGTCCTGTTCATCCCCAGTACTCTCATCAAGCTCGGCTCCTTCGGGCTCAATCGACTGTGTCTCGGGAAGGGTCATCGGCGGCTGCGACCCAAGTGACACGACCTGGGCCTCTAAGAGTCTTATCCGTGCTTGGAGCGATTCGACATATTTCTTACTCGGTGGCCTATCTCATCGTCAACGGCCGTGATCGCCTCCTCATTCAGTCAAGGGAGGAACCCGACCTGCGCTTATTTTCCGCATGCTGAAATTCACACTGAGTCCCTCTTCTCACACAAGATCCGCAAATCGGTTGTTGTCCATCACACTATTATCGCAATATCTCATTAGCGACTCATTCGGATCTCATCGGAGAACTCCGTGGGGCTGCGCTCATGTGTCCACAACTTACGCGCATCCGCCTCCCGCGACACGCAAGACACGCGATTGAGACCCGCTGCCTCTTCTTCCCCTCAGGCTGCGGCGCAGAAGCGGTCGGCTCAGACATGTCGTCTTATCGCGCCTTATCTGCGCGTCGTGAGGCTCTCAGAGGGCGTCGTCGAGGCTGGGCAGGGCTGGGCATTCAAAAAAGTCACTTCACCGAGGTGTAGAAGACTAAGTTCAGATGAGCGTCCGCGTTGTGTCATGAGCGCCTAATAACAGAAATTATCACTACCTGAAACCCCCCACTCCGACGAATCAATCAGTGCTGAGTTATCTTTCCCCGCATATCCACTAACAGTGCCTAGTCGAACTCTAACGAAAAACACAGCCTAGCGTCTCCAATATTCCAAGCGGCTGGATTTAAGACATTTCAAAAGGATCTCCGTCATCCCCTCCTTTGCAAGGGATTCATCGCACTCAGGGGTCAGCCGCGTAGTGGACAGGTCTGGCGGGGTACTTGTTGACCCGCAGACTCAGCTGGTCAGGGCGACAGTAGTGCCCGACAATGTCCAGGTTCTGCTTCGCCTTGGCCTTCTCAGCAAGATCGACCTCGGCGTAGAGGATGCCCTCCTCATTGGGCGGCAGACGCGTGGCGAGCTCCTGGCCCCAGGGAGAGTAGATCATGCTGAAGCCGCCGCCATGCGTGGGGTGGTTGTTGGCGTATCCGAAGTCGTCGATGCGGCAGCGCGCAGCCGACTCGTCCTTGCAGATCTGCGTGCAGACCATGACGAAGCAGGCGCCCTCAAGCGCGACGATCTGGGAGAAGCGCAGAGACATCTCGTCGGTGATGTGGCCGGGCCAGTTGGGGTCCGGGTTGCCGTCCTTGTCGTTGGGCTGGGGCCAGATGAGAGGCCAGCTGGCGACGTGCAGGTCGACGTTCTGCTCGTACTCATAGTAGCGGAGCATGGTCTGCGTGTGCTCCCAGCAGTTGAGGCCGCCGATGCGGACGTCGGGGTGCACAGTGCTGGGAACGACGGTCTGGAGGGACTCGCCCTGGCCGTCACCCCAGTAGGCGCGCTCGACGTGGGTGGGCTTGATCTTGCGGCGGTGGTGGACGATGACACCGTTCTCATCGATGAAAGACTGCCATTTGTGAGTATTGCGCGCATTAACATGACCTTGGTGTGGAGAGCATACCTGTGCGATGTAGAGAGTGTTCTTGTATCTCTCACTGTAACCAAGAACGACGAAGACACCAGCTTCCTTGACAGCTGCGCAGATGCGCTTCATCTCATCCGAGTCCTTCACAAGCGAGTTGCGGAAGTACTCGTCCATGAAGGCGGCATTGTCGGTGGGGGACTTGGCCCAGATGCTCCTTTCCCGGCGCATGTTAGTCGACTGTTGACTGACTTCGTGTAGAAGAATCATGTCTTGCGACTACTTACCAAGGATATCCGGGGATGAAGACCTCAGGGAAACCGACAACGTTGGCGCCCTCGCTGGCGGCCTTCTCAATAAGAGCGATGGACTTGTTGACACCGCCCTCGAGGTCCTGCCAGGCAGGCTCGGCTTGGATAGCAGCGATCTTAAGCTTGGGGGCCATCTTGGTCTTCGAAGAGGTTGTTTTGGATGGAGGAGGTGGTAGGTTCTCTGAGTTCTTCAGGCGAATGGAGAGGTAGGAGGAGTCTTGGGAATCTGTGAGTGCTGATGCTTCGTCTGATGTTGAACTCATCGTGAAAGAGGCGTGCTTAAGTATGAATGTCGATGATCCTTCTTCTCCTCTTTCTCCTCATCATCTTCATGATGCACCAGGGGGTTTATCATGTTTTACATCGGTACAGCATTATCCTATCCTTTGTCGTTGATGCTTCCTCTCGCGTATCACACGCGTGGCGATAAACCCCCCAAATACATATCATCTGATTCTGCCGGTCGACCATTACCCTATCGACTACATGGAGGATCCGTGATGGATCAGCAAAACCCTTTGGGCTAAAGTAAACAGGCCTCCACTTCCCCAAACCAGCCAACACAGGCCAAACCCTGGCTAACGCATGCCGGACCTCGCATTATCGACGTGGGTCCGGCCCGGAAGAGCATTACCCTATCGGCCCCGCTGACGCGGACGTCAGTCTCCGTGCGGGGTACTTATCGCCGATCGTGATTCGCTCTCGCTCCGGCACCGAGGACCCGGTACGCCCGGTATCATCGAATCAACATCAGCTAGTTGTAAACCTTGGTTTTGAAGGTGTCACAGATCGTCTTCGGATGAACTGGGCGCTTCTTGGTAGATGCCGGCAGTTTATAAAAAGTCCGGACTGGGGTTGCTGCAGGACATGATGTGGTAATTGTTACGTTTGGATATCACCCCGAGTCATCCTTCCCCAGCTTTGGTGCACTTTTTCGAGCACGTCCTTTCACTTGTTCCAAAACTTCACGATGACAGAGCTCGAGTCCGCCATTCCAGAATGGCTGCGAAAGGATCGCACGGTACCGGCGAGAGCTCCGCCGGGCTTCAAGCCTCCGTTCGAGCTGTACACGTCCAGGTTCCCAAAAGAAACGAAAGACCTTGTCATGGCAGTCATCGGCGCCCAATACGAACCAAATGTGAAGCACGATGGTTCGGCCTTAAGAACAATATCTGAGTTCATTACCTCCAACTCAGCCACTCCAGAATCGCGCCCCGGCTTTCACGAGGTCGCAGCAGTGACCGACAACCACGGCTTCTACAATCTCGCTGTATTCGCATACTGGCCTAGCAAGTCAGCATACCAAGAATGGTCAACCACCAGCGGATTCCACGATTGGTGGAGCAATCTTACGTCCGACGATAATGGCTGGTTTCTTGAGGTCTTTTACCCGACGATCGATCGCCTCGAAACGGTGTTTTCGACACAATTACCGGAAGGTGCTGGGAACTTGAGAGAGAGCATCACTGGTCCCATACAAGAGCATGTCTACTGGGGAAGCATGCGGGACCGCCTTCCCATCTCACAGACAGACGAACTTCTTGGGGACGCCGAGACCGTCAAGAACGGAGATTCTGCCACGAATGGCACTGCCAAGTCAAAGAGAGTCCGGATTCAAGGCAAGAAGAATCTCTGCGTCATCCGGTCGGGCCAAGACTGGTCAGCCGCTCTCCCCGAAGAACGCCAGATCTATCTCGACTCCATGCAGCCACCCCTGACCAGAGGCATGGACTTCTTACGTGACCACGGTGATGAGGTCGGCTGTATAAGTTGTCGCTTCATGGAGGTAGTGGACCCGGTCACAGCCGGAGGTGGCACAGATCGCACCTTTTGCCTTGCATATTTTGACAACCTCAGCTCCTTAGAGAGCTGGAGCAAAGAGCATAGGACGCACCTCGCTATCTTTGGGGAGTTTGCCAAATACGCAAAGCGACTAGGGGATAAGATGAGTCTAAGTTTGTTTCATGAAGTGCTTGTTTTGGAGGCAGAGCAGCAGATGTTCGAGTACATCGGTTGCCATGATGGAACTGGAATGTTGGGTAGTTGCTAGATGGCATTAGGTAACCTCATGTGGCACTGGCATTTCGGTAGTTAGCCCAGGTGTTCGTCTACAATATCAAAATCTGTCTCCCCTATGAAAGTGCCTCAAACTTTGCCATCCATCCTATATAGGCCTGAGCTAAGAAGACAAACTGTTATACGCAAGGTTGCAGAGCTATTAGTATTTGTGTGCCAAATGTGATGATCGCCTGGTCACCTCTTCGGATATCTTGAGTTCCTAGCCGGAACCGTCCTCTCTCGACCACAAAGTCCTCTTCCTGCCTTGCCTTTCAAGTTCCCATACAATCGGTCATTATTGTGCGCCGAAGTCTGACCTCCGACCCAAACGATGTCAGAAATGGCACAGTAGAGTCTGTGATGAATTTGAAAGGCGAGGATCTAAACCTGTCGCCATCTTAGCCATCACGGAATTCTTGGTTTTATTTTCTTTTTTCTTTTCTATCTCTCAAAGGCTCCAATTTGCAACACAGGTGTCGGGGCCCAATCTAATCACAATTTCTGAGTTTCTAATCAAATTCCCGCGAATGACGCCCAGACGAACCCTCGCCCACAGCCGTTCAGACATGATCATGCGTTCAAGAGTCGTCCATGCTATTGTAAAGGGACAACAAACGGCCATCGGCCGAGTCTGCTATCATGACGAGACCAACCTTCTCCCTTCTGCGGCAGCCCCACTTCCAGAAGCAGGAGACGTGCAATGTACGTATGGCTGCCCAGTCGGGTGCCAACACGCATGCCAAAGTCCATTTTTTGAGTCATCGGAGGTCTTCAGTACCCATTTCGCATATGATGCCTATTGGTCCGAGATGGGCTTGTGGTGTGGCGTAGGCAATTCAGATTCTAAGATGAACCAATGAACCACAGCGGGGGGTTCTCCATAAGTCTCTATGATAACGTGAACCATGACGAGGTCCCCAGCGCGGCAATGAGCCTTTTCAATCGCTGCGGCCTTTTAATACCCACTCCCATGTGCGACGCAGAGCTGGAACAGAATCTAGCGGGAACCAATCACATCCGTCTAAGTGTGTACAATGTTCCACATGGAGAGCAGCAAAACCCCATGAAAAGCTACGGTTCACCCGGATTATCACGAAGGTCAACACTGCACCACCAATTTCCACTTCGATTGTATCCCGAGTGTGTTAAAGCTTCAACTGGCATCTGCCTTTGTCTCCATGCCTCGGCCAAAGAGGTCTGTCATAAGCAACGCGAAGTGGGACCGCTTCGAGCCACTCATCCGCCAGCTTTATCTGCAAGATGACAAAACACTACCAGAGGTTATTGAGGAACTCCATGCCTATGACTTCGACCCAAGGTAAGTACTCTTGCAGTGTATCAATTGGCACAGATAGGGTGCTGAATTTCTACCAAATGCAGTGAGGCACAATTAGAATCGAGACTCAAACTATGGCACATGAACAAGAATATGAGCGCTAAACAGTGGAGATACGTGGAAACTCGACTTCATCAAAGGAAATGCCGCGGACAGCAAAGCAATGTCTACCTTTCCGGTATCCAAAAGAATCTAAACAATGCGGCGCGAAACAAGCATCTCCACGTCACAACACTCCAGAAATACAATCAAATGTATCAAAAGACGCCCAGTATGTCCTCAGGTTGCAGCTGCAGCTACGACTCTCCTACATATGTTGACTGAGCGACGCTAGACGACGAGCCGGAGTCACCGAAGGATCTCTCGCTCATCATCCGTACCCCACCTTGTACATCGCCTGACGATGAAGACATTGTTAGTGTTCAGCTAGCCCTGCGAGTTGCCCAATCTCGACAATTCTTGGAAAGTAGGTTTTTCGTGTGGCTGCCAGCGTAAGCCTTTTTGCTTGGCTGACTCAAACGTCACTAGATCTCATTTGTCCATTTCCATCGAATGTTCTAAACGATCGGAAGGGCCCCATCCAAATCCACAGCCAAAACCTTCTCGATCTCATCTTTGGGGAGTTCTACAGCCTTTCCAAGAAACACAAAGATCGTCTGAACGGAACACATGAAGCTCTCCGCCTATGGATGCCGGAAGGTGGCCATCGAAACTACGTACATATGGCTGAAGCCCTGGCGCGACAATGCGACTCCTTGAGCAGTACTACCGAGACTATGGAACTACTTTTCTTCCTGCTCGCAAATAATTTTCACACTGGGTGGGACACGAAAAAACAGAAAACGATTATGACGTTGCTCATGGATACTATTCAGCGCTGCAACGGTTGGAATTTGATCGCGCGCCAGCAGTATTCGCAACTTTCACCAGGCTTGCAGGCAGCTTTAAATTGTCTATGGAAGGAGGTTGTTGAAGCATCAGACTTTGACGCTATCAGATCGCTACATGCAGCGGGTGTTGACATCAACATTGCCATGTCAGGCCTTTTACAAGAGTATACGTCGGCGCTTTATGTGCCAGAGACGTCAACTGCATGGCAGTACGCCAACATCATCAATGACACTCGGTTGATTAGATTTCTTGTCGAGAGGGGAGTTCTGGTCAGCAAAGTTGATTTGGAGATGGTCCGCCTTGCTTCCTGTTTGAGAACAGACCTGGAACCAAAAGTCTCGCCAAAGGAATCCGTCAAGATGCTGCTATCGCGCTATGAGTTCGTCCGCGAGGATGAACCACATGTGAGAAGATTACTTGAGACCGTCAGTTCCGACGTAACTGGGAGCGTTTCAGAAGTCGTGGTCGATTTCTTCCGTTCAAAACTGGCCGACCCGCAATCCATATCGCAGCTTCTCGTCACAGCAATCAAGACCAAAAGCAGCCTCACCTGGAACCTGGTCACACAATATTCCGACTATGCTGACTCAACGAACGGTCTGCTGGAGACTCCTCTGACAGTGGCTGCATGCGGTAACGATCTTGCCTTGTGTCAACAATTGGTCCAGTTGGGAGCTTGTCTTGAGCCCACCATTTCTCTTTCCATCTTTTGTGCCGCAACACCGCTTCAGTGCGCAGCATTTTTTTTCCGACGCAGCAATGATTCGATGTCTCCTAGACTTGGGCGCCAAAATCAATTCCTGTCATCCGTTAACCCATCATCCCGAACCTAGATTCGTCTGCGTTGATGGTACGGGCAGCGAACGATTTTACGAACGCAAACATGGCAATTGGAAGATCAGCCCTGGAAGAACTGCACTTCAGGCTGCTTTGCTTGGACACAAGCGAGAGAACATGCAGCTTCTTCTGTCAGAAGGGGCGACTCAAGTTGGGGGCGAACTTGCCATTGCCTGCCGAACTGGACAACACTCACGAGCCAGAGATCTTCTTCGCACAGTTCCTGAATTCCAAAGCTATGCTGCCTTATCTGCCAACGACTCAATTTTACAGGCTGCAGTACTTAATAGAGACTTCCGTCTGGTGTCCTATCTGTTTAATTGTCGGCAAAGGCTCATTCATACCTGGACAGTCAGCATGCGCTGCGGTACTAGTGGCAAAACGTATCTCCGACTTGGCCGTGGCTAGAAGTCTCTTAGCCACAATCGTCAAGCCTCCATCTGAAGATGAATTCTGGCTTGGTACAGCAATAAGCCTCGCAGCAAAGCTGGGGATGCCGCAGATTGCGGACATGATAATGGACTTTGGTCTGCGCCCAGAAACCTCAGCACCGATGACTGAGTGGCGTTTTCGAGAGGTTTTTCCCGTAATGAACTCCGCTGACTTCGACATGGACTCGATATTCTTCCAATGGATTGAACGTTTCTGGAAGGCAGAGACTATAAGCTTTGAAATGGTCGAATGCGATCGCCCTATTCCAGTCATCCACGTTGCGTCTGAAATCGGAAATTGCGACTACTTAGACATTCTGGTGCGCCACAATTTTCAAGTGTCGTCAGTGTGCGCAGCCATAGCCATTGCAACGGCGCCCAATGTCTGGGACTTTCTCAGGAAATTAAGCGATCTTGGTGTAGCAATGACAACTGACATGCTTGCCATCGCTATACAGAACAAATCTTTCGATATTCTCGAATGGCTAGTTCACCAGGATATCAACTTGTAAGAGGAACCCAGTGGTAATTTAGACTACGCACCACTTTGGCTCGGCTACAGCAACCGTTCACCCCTGGAAGAGGCTGTTCGTGGCGGCCACAGAGAGATAATGGAGAGGCTCTTGTACCTCGGTGTTAAAGTCAACAACCACCCTTACTGTGTCGGTGGTGCCACGGCTCTTCAGGCAGCTGCAATTGAAGGGTACTCGGGGATACTACGCAGGCTCATAGAACTCAACGCGGACCCAAACGCGCTTGGGGCCGAATCATATGGGCGAACGGCCCTCGAGGGGGCTGCTGAACACGGAAGACTAGACGTCGTTCAGATCTTGCTTTCTTCGGGCGTTAAGACCCACGGCAGTGGCCGTCGACAATATGTTCGGGCAATTGCGTATGCACGCCATCATGGGCACCACGCAGTGGCTGAACTGCTGACGTCTCACCGACCATGGGAAGAAGCTGATCAGGAGATTCTTGACGAGAAGGACCTCTTGAATGAAGACCAAAGTCCCCAAAAGATTGCCGAACGACAGCGCGTTTCCAGCGAGTCTGATGATGATTTGGAAAGCTCTGACGAGGTAGTGAGCTTTGACCCGGAGTCGGAGCTCTTTGAGGACGGCCATCAGATACAAGAGGACCCTGGCCCTTTGATAGGGGGCCTTAGAGTCGATGGCGATGTCTCGGAAGTCCAGAGTATGACACACAACGAGCAAGTCAGAGACATATTTGTCGAACAACAGGTACCTACTGGTCACAACGGGCTAGGTTCTGGAAGCAACTATTCTGGTCTATTGATATGCGATCAGGCTATGCAGGATGCCGGGAATGACGAAAGTCTGAGCAATAGAGATCAGGGGCCCATGGGGGACACCATCCCAGATTATGAAGGCAATGAGCTCGAAATACTCACTTCTTTAGTTTACGGCCAGGCGATGCAGAGACTCGGTGATGACGGAAATTCGGGGCTGGTGTTTACGAGTGACACTTTAGGGACGATATTCGATTGGAGTGGAGTGGGGACTGTTGAGAGCTGGGACTCTGTTTCCTGGACTTTAGACTGAATCTACATCACGAGTATTTTCACCTATATAGGCAACGATTATGTGACACGTCCCACTGCATGTAGACTGTGACGTTGTCATGGCGAGGTAGCGGGTGCACTCGCCCCCTTGCCACTCTAATCTGTCCAGTTTATATCACCACTGGCAGTTGATATATGGGATACATCAACTACTTATGTAAGTATATTACCACCTATATGGGCGTTTAAGATCAGAGACAACCTAGAAAGGCGTTTTGATTTCCAAACACTCGAATGTCTATTAATGCAGCTGTATTCTTAGAAACAGTCAGTTCAGAGGTCCATAACACTAACATCAACAGCATGATTGCTGATCCATTCCGCCATATTCACAACCTAAAGGATATTTCCAAATGTTCGGTTTAGCCAGTCGTAGAACAAAACAGCTTGGACGAATGCATGTCGCTGTCATGTAGCTCTGGGGCCCCTTTACGGGGCATAACACGCATTGCGGACTTTCATCAGTCGTGAAGATACTAGGTGTAGAATTAGAGACAGGCGGGATGGAAAAGGTCTACAATGCTTAAAAAGAAGAAGAATCAATTTGGCACACGTAGCATGAAGGGAAAAGTGATACAACATGTGATCATATTCTTCAAAAGTCTCGTTGATCGCTGAATCTTTTCGGCCCACGGTTTTGATGGTTTAACACCGTGACCCACTTTGGCGTCTTTCCACTCACGCTTTGGTGTAGCGAAACTGAATACCGCGCCCAATTGATCGGTGATGGCCGGCATCGGGGACTGGATACCGTGCTTAAGTGATCGGTGGCCACCCCGTTGCCATCTGTCAGCTTGGAATAACCCTGCAGAGTCCTGCAGAGTCCCGCCGCCTGGCTACGTGCTGGCCAATTGAAGAGCGACCGGGAGGGGCCGCACCACGGCACCACGAGAGAGACTCCAGAGATTGGGCGGCGTGCAGGATAAATGCCATGGGTCTACACGTTTCACTCGGTGGGATAGGTGTACTTTTGGGCTGATAAGAGTGTGGTGGGGCAATGCATCTGAGCATGGGAAACAAAGGAATTCCAAGAGATCCACTGAGAGATCAGCCGGAACAGCGTATGGCCTGAGCATTCTCTCGCAACCTCAACCCATCAAGTCACAAACATCGAGTCTCGAATTACCATAAATATTTCATCCTCCGATGTGCCCTCCCAAAAAAAGTGTCTCAATCCTTCAAACATGTAAGTCGCCCTCTTGTTCCTCGGGTCCATCATCGCATTTGCCAAGCGATCCAGTATCTGACACTGACGGCCGCTGTCTTCCCACAGTACTCATCCGCAACCTGCTCGGGACATGCTGAT